CAGCTTTCTTTCTGGTCTCCTGTTCATGCACATGCCCTGCCGAATGCCATGTCTCCTCTGGCCTGCTGCGTAGCACAGTGGTGGAACATGAGCATATGGACTGAGGTCCACGTTGCAGCCGTACAGATGTTGGCGATTGGGATATTCACCAGGATGGTGGGTGAAGTGGCTTGCGCGCTGGTGAAGTGCGCCTTGTGCACGGCAAAGGTTAGACATCATAGCACATGGTGATGCATAGGGTGATCCATCTGGAGAGCCACTGGGAAGAAACCAGAAGATTTTTCATGCATTCTGTGAAGGCTGCAAAGAGCTGAGAGGATGTATGGAAGGGTCTCATGCACTCCAGGTAAAAGGCGAGCGCCTGCCTAACGTCCAAGGCATGGAGGCGTCTCATGTGGTTTAGGATAGCGGATGGGTCAGAAGATGGCCTGGACCAAATGGAAGGCTGAAAACACCTTAGGGAAGAAAGCAGCTTACCTGAACCTCACCCTTAAAAATTGCGTAAGGCAGTTCCAAGGTGAGTGTCCGAAGCCTGGATACCCTCCTGATCCATGCCATGGCTACCAAGGCCACCTTCGCAGACAAATGACAGAGAACACAAGGCCAGTGGCTCAAATAAAGGACCTGTCAGCCGAGACAGAACCAGATTTGAGTCCCACTGGGGAAGAGGAGGAAAGTTTGTGGAAAAAGCCTCTCTAGGCCTTTCAGGAATCTAGCCGTGAGGTCATGGAGAGTACAGCTCGGCTCTGAAATGGAGGGTAAAAGGCCGCAATGGAAACTGTGGTTACGTGGTCTCTGATCGAAGAAAAAGCCAGACCTGAGTGCTTCCAGGTAGTCCAATATTGTCTGCAGGGGGGCGTTAACTCCCTTCTGCTCCACACAAACCAAGAACTGGGTCCATTTTGCCATGTAAACAGAAGACGTAGAGCAGAGGTTCTCTGTGGCAGCTCTGGGGGCCAGGGCTAGGGTACATCACCCACTGCGGCTGTGGGGAGAGGAGCTAACCAGTGTTGTGGAGAGGTGGGGTTTCCTCCCAGACGAGGAAGAGCAGCTCACAGGAGGGCTGCAGGGAGCCTTAGAGCAGCCACGACCAGGGCAGCAGCACGCACCTGGAGGCTGGGAGGCAGCAAAGGACTAAGTGAGGGGGTGACTGGGGACTCTGGGGGCTCCAGGGGTGAGTGAGGCTAGTGCTGGTGGCAAAGCGAATACTGGAGGGGGGCTGGGGGCGAGGCTAGTACTGGAGAGCTCTACGGGATGGGGAGCTTTAAGAGGCAGCAGGCTGACACTAGAGGGCACTGGAGACTCCAGGGTGGGAAGCTGGCACTGGGGGAGGGCTGGGTGCAGTGGGGCTCTGGAAACAGGAGGCTGGCACTGAGGGGTCTGGTGGCGGGGGCTCTAAGAGGTGGGAGGCTGGCACTGGGGGGGTTGGACGCAGGGGAATCTGGAATCTGTGGCTGGCGCTAGGG